TAATGAGGAAAGGAAACTAAGGAAATATATTAATTCCAGGGTAACTACCACCAAAGTCTGATGTGGTTAAGATAGGTCAATATTGGGCAGAAGCACATGCTTTTAAATAAATGGGGAAATCAGAATAACTTTCCACAGATACTGTACATGCACTTTCACTTGTTTTTTTAATCCATATTAAATCATTTGCTGCCTTGCTTATCTGTGTTTTAAATCTCCATGTTGCCAAGAGTTTAGTGATTTGTGAGCCAAGTGGGATAAAAGCAAGAGTTCCCCAATATTTTCTCTGCCCCTGTGCACACACACAGATGGATTACACATCCACACATGCCAGTCCCTCTAGGCTCATTTTTGAACACTCCTGGGAAGAAGATCTATGATCTCTGACACTCTGGTCACCCCCTCTGCTCTCTAATACTACTTGTAGAGCAGAACATATAACACTGTCAAAGCCTCTGGAGATTTTAGCAGCTAGACCATAATAGTGCCATCCAAGAAAAGGAGCTAAAGATTTAGGAGGAGATTTGAGCAGAATTTTGGCAACCCTTAAACAAACATGTATGATCCCCAAAATTCCTTCCCTCTAGCTTGGCAAGCACTTGAATGATACAAGTGTGTGCGTTCCCTCCTGCAGGGTATCCTGGCCATAACAGGTGTATTGACAATGTTCATGCATAGTCCTGTGCTAATATAAGTCTAATGCTTTCCCTGATTTCAGAATGCTAATTATAAGAAATATAAGTTCAATAAGGCATAAAATATCAAAGTCAAAGCAGGAAGAAGCTGTATCCATATGCTGGCTAACTCAGCACTTCCTAACACAAATACTACACACAGCCTAGTGTCTCTCTCGGTAATCAATAATTGTACCCTAAATGACATCTTGCTAGGAGCAGAGATGCTGCATTTTTAGCCATTTTTCTTGGGGCAGGCTCTTAATAAAACACTGTCTATCCCACAAAGAAATTTTTCCTCCTACTGGCTTGAATGATTTCCAGGACAATACCAGCAAAGGAATTTATCCTAAGAAAGGCTGTCACCAGCATGGATTCTTTAGCTCTATGATTTTGGGAGAGGGTAAAGAAAGACACAAACACAAACCAGGGAAATCTGTTTTAGGAAGATGGGTGAGGAGTTCTAGGGGCAGTCAGAAAACTGGGATTAATTCTTCAGTGGACAGGGAGTTACGTGATTATGAATGTAAACATTTTCTTTCATGTTATTTTTATGGAAAATATTATTTGGGCAATACTACCAAATGGAAGTATTTGATTATTTATAGCCGACTGAGCCTGCTAGTCAGTGTAATACTTAAACCCAGTAACTGGTGGTTGCTCACCAGTTTCATGACAGTCCCATCACTAAATAGGATCCTATTCTCCACAGCACTTCCTAGAGCTCATTTTTAGCAGCAGAACCACCTTGAGAAATTCCCCAGCATCAGGAACTGTCAACATACAAAGCTGGATCTGTATGGTGCCTTCACTAGACGAGGATTTCTCCACCTTAACCTACCACCAAGAGTAACAGACTGGAACAAGGTGAAGGTAAACACACACTGACACAGAAATTTAACCCTTTGATAGCTACAAGATGTTCATGCTACCAAAAGCAGTACTGGGACACAGGAGTTTGTGCTTTGGTCACACCAAGATATTTAGGCCAAATAAGGAAGCTTTATTCAACACACCTCACCCAAGCAAAAGCTCAAGACAATTGGTAGATCCTGATTCCATAAAATAATATTAGGTTATTATCATTTCTTTCAGAATGACACAAAACAGTCAATAGCTAGATAGTTTAGAAAATAAGAGTTTTTTGAATGAGGAAATGAATTAATCTATAGGAGCTTGACGCTAAAGCAGAGAAAAGCAGAAACAGCAGTTTTCAGGAAATTTCAATCACTGTCTCTCTGGTAAGACAGGAGATATTTACAGCAGAATACGACTATTTTTAACAGGGGTCATCTCTCTGAATATGATTTGAAAGTAACACTATTCTAAACTTTTCGTGGCCAGATCTCAGCCACTAAAAATCGCTATAGGCCTAGAAAAATAATGAGGCTATGCTTATTTATAACAACTAAGAGTCTAGCTTTGAGCTTTCCAATCAGCCTCTGGCTTTAGAAAAGGCTGCAAAAGCCCCTTACAAAAACTGAAAACGGTATTTCCATCCAACAGCTCTGTTCAGTGGAAGAAAACACCTGACTTCTGATAAAGTTTTAGACAATTGTGGTTTCTCAAATCAGTAAGCTTTTGAGATGCTAACAGATAGGATAAACTCTCTTACCTAGGAGTGGTGCTAGAAGTAAGGAAGGCATACCATTCTTAGAAAACTTTTATAAGCCAAATATAATTTATTATTAAGATTTACTGCTGCTGTCTCCAACAAACCCTGTGTTTGCTTCACTCATCTGTTTTTTATTTTAGCCTGATGATCCCATGCTGCCAATACTGGTGTTTCACTGAAATGTTGGGTAGGAGGAAAAGGATTCAACCTCGTTTGCTCCATCATTCTTTGCAATTGTATGTAAAGCTCAGCACCTCAATTTCTTTCCCTGCCTTTTGATAGCCTTTTACTATGTAATTTCTGGAGTCTATATAATCTTTCCTAGTCTTTACAATGTGCCAACTTCACTGCAAAAAAAAATTATTCCATTTTAAGACAAACTAAACTTACTAATAAGGATATTTAGGTTTTTTTCCCCACTCATCTTGCAAATGGAAGACTCAGTTCCATAACTGCTCTACCACATCCTGGACTTCATGTTGGTTGTCCTCCACCCTGAACTAAAGAGAAACTTGTTTACACAGGATTAATTCATGACATACAACATTTGCTTAACTTTTTAATGAATTTCAGACATGTACAGCACAGATGTCTACCTCTCATTTATCATCTAATATTTCCTTTGCAGTCTGTGAGGAAAATAAGCACTTCCAGTGCACAAGTCATCTCATCCTGTAGTACACTTACTATACACTACTGTGTATAGTAATGAAGGAATCAATTCACCTACCACTAAACCAGAGGCTGGGGAACTGCTTTAGTGCCTAACAGCTTTACCAAGGTCCCAGCACAAGCTCAAGTCTCCAGACAGTGTCAGATGAACTTGAATCTCATATCTCAGATGGACAGTCTCTTCCTTTCTTAATCATTAAAAATTGCAAAAGCTTCTCAAGCTATGCTGGGATGTAATGAAAATAACTTTTAAGAATTGTCTTCTGCCATAAAATGAAATTCTTGTTTTATGAGCGCAGAGAACCTTTAGACACCAATGCTGCAGAAATAAATAAGAAATGGCCAGGCTGTAAAATGACCAATTTGTAAAATGGCCAAATTATTAAATATGCTCTGCATAGCTCTGAAATATAGATTTCCATTAACAGATGGCATAATCTATGAAGACTTGGAATTTAACTCTTCTTATACTTAAGATGGTCAAATTAAGGATAAAACAGTGGACTAAACTGGAAATCTACAGATGTTGAGTATTTTTTTTATGAGAAACTCAGTCTAAATTGTATTTAATTAAGATGTCAGAAATTAAAATTGGTTTGGCCTCAGTTGTAAGGAAAACAGAAGGCTTCCCTTTTTTAGCCAAAGCATTTTGGATTATGTTTTTGTACTGCAGTCACACAAAGCTTTTAGTTCTATAAAATATTTTGAACATGCTTCATTTGGAAGACTATTCTAAATCAACTAATAACATAATGAACATATTGCTGAGTGTTGACTCACAGGTTGTTGGTTTTTTTTTGGCTGGAAGAGATTGTTTGGTTGTTGTGGTTTAGTTTGAGGTTTTTTGGTTGATTGCAAAATACAGGATTGAGCAGAGAGTAAAAACGTATCTGCAGTGTGCCACAGCATGACATTTATATCCAGTTCTTCCTTGAAAGGTGCAATCTTTGACTTCTTGGCAGAGGAAGGTTTGAAAAACACAGGCAGGTGTCAAGTGGCAATTTATTTACCTAATTATTAGCTAAAGTCTGAACTGAATGCTAAGTGTTAAGAGTCAGACATGACAGACTGGTGCAGTAATTTCATGAAGGTCTGTATTTTATTGTTGAGCTTTGGAACTCCACAGCTCAACGGAATGGCTTCTTACCCACCTAGTGCAGTCATAAAACATCTAGGCACTCCCACACTTAGGAACACAATTCACAGGATTCAGCAGCCTCAGGAAGGAGTCTGAAATTAGAAGAACTGAGAGGCCTTTATTTTGATTTCATCCCCTTGTTCTGTTGCAGGGACTTGGTAACAAGTATCTGTCTCCCTATGGGATGCTCTGCCCAAATGTCCCAAGTCAAAATAAAAGATGACCAAGTCTTAAATAGTTGCTAATCTCTGCATGTTTTCATGAACTAGTCTTACTTTCTGCTTCCAGCACTGTTAAATATTTTCACTTATCTGTCTGTTTTAAAAGCGTGACCTATGCTTAGCAACTGATCGTGACAGATGTATTTTGACATGAGATTGTCTAGGAAAACTAGACTGAATCCTATTTCAGCAAGAATATGACAGACTCTTCCAGCTGACATGGTCCAAAAAACCACCACCAAACATTTATACTTATGCTCAGATTTTCCTACTATTATTACGTGAATACATAGATTAAATAGACCCTGGGGAAGATTCAAAAATCTTTTTCCTATGACATGTCAGCTGCCATAATTTGTATATTTCTCTCCCTGACTTATCAAGTCATGAGCAAAGTCATTAACATATTTTGGAGCAACACAATAAAGTATGCTCAGACAGAAAAGTGAACAGTTTTGCTGACTAGCACACTGTACCCAGTTAGCTGCTGCCACAGCAAATACAGCACAGAGCCACATTCATAACCAAGACAGAGCCCACCTGAGGATCACCTCAGTCTTTGCCTGCTCAACTCCTTTTCTGTGTTTTAGCACTTACAAGTATCTTTTAATTTCCAGAGAATTTTCACTGGTAAATTTATAGACATCAGTTCGAGAATTTATGCTTGAAGAGCTTCTTACCATAGGTAGCTTTCTTCTTTTCCTGTTGGTTACCACCATTTCCATCCCATCATAGAGGGAGCAATTGCAAATCATGCTTAGACTTCCATCCTTATTATAACCATAAAAATTTTATATTATTTTCTCATCCCTCATGTCTTTTCTGAAAGGATTTAATTACTCTTCATTATGAATCAATGATGTTATCAAAAGGTAAAGTTTTTATTCTGTAATGGGATAATGCAAAATATAGCTCAATTAATATTTTTGATTTTGTTTTTAACAGCTATATCAAATTTGTAACTCATTGGCACAAATAGTGATAACTGTACATTGTGCTCTTTAGTGGTTTACAGCTACTGAGTTCTTAGAGCTAACCATTATTAGCTTCTAAATACATGATTGTCCCTTTCTTTCCTATTGAGTTACAACTCCTTTCTATTATATCAGTTCTCAAGTATCACTCTATTCTTTCTGGTAAATATCATGTTCCTTTCTTGATTGATGATAGCTCCTAATGTGTGTCATCAAAAAATTTCAAGAGCACATGCTTTATTTCTGAGTGCAAAATCACCAGTAAAGCCAGATGCAACTTAAAATTGCCTTCCACTTTCTCTCCCCAGCCTAACACTTCACCTTGCACCATAACCCATACAGACTTCAGTTGGTTTCTTTCAAAATTACTTGAATTGTCTAATTACAATTAATTAAATTAATAATTTTTATGGATCACAGTCTCAAATACCTAAGCAAATCTAGAGCAATTAATCTACACTTACCCAACGAAGAAATTACTAGAATTTTTATAATTTTGCTTAACCTAACTTACCTTCATAAAGACTCAGCTGTCTTCTAGCCCACTGCCTTTTTTCCACGTGGTTGGTAAGTCTGACCTTTAAAAAGCCCTCAGGCAGCTATCAGGTGTTTTAAATAGTACGAAATAATTGCCCCAGTCACCTCCCACCACCCTTTTTTAATTAGAGATATTATATTGACTATTTATCAGTCAAAACTATTATTACAAACTACCAGACCATTAAATTTTACTCTTGGACTTATAAAAATGTCATCTAAATTTACAGTGTTTTGGAAGGGTGAATGTACCAAGGCCAGTTTTTATAAAAGTGTCAGTCCTTGTTGGTACTACTGACAGTAAACTAGTACCCAGAATTTAACTATGCCTTGCATAACTAAATGAAGAGCTTATGCTGGTTATCTGTAAGCTCTAGGAAGAATATTTCATTAATCTGATAAATTACTTGGTCTCAGGTTTGAAATCTTTCACTGCAATGTTGGAGATTTTCCATAGCTGGAAGAACATTGTTCAAGAATAGCAACAAACTTCTCCTGTTCTCAAGAGTTGCAGTGTATTTGGCAGGGCTAAACTTGTTCTCACACTTGGGCTCAGAAAGATCCTCCCTGCATTTAATTTCCAGAACTATTACCCTCTCTGGCACTTGCTGTTGGAACTAACTTCTGAAGGATCTTTGACACATCATGTAATGTGTATGCTCTTTATCTCCAGTGCTGTCACTGGGTCCTGCTAGGTTTTGTTATCCAAATTTAGAGTTTAATGAATTGGTGGCAAAGACTAGATGACTTACATACTGCTGTGGATTAAATATTTGTTGCATGGGATAGTGATCCATTGCATCCCATCTCAAAGAGCAGAACTGAAGAGTTTCTGAAGTATTTGCTGCCACTATGAAGTTCCTGACAGCCAGATAGAACATGGGTATCAATAAAACATGAAAGGCTAATTTACTTTTTTTTTTTCCTATTGCTTTTCATAGCTGTATAAGGAGGTGAAAAAAGCTCTAGGTTTTACTCCAGGAATTCACTTGCCATGGAAAATCCCCCAGTGGAGAACAGAGACCCTCACACAGTTAGGGAAAAGGCTTAATTACAGCACAGCCAACAAAATTGGCTTCAGTGCTCACCATTTAAAGCAGCCAACACTGTAATGAGGGGCTTAATGCAGGACTCCAGTCAGGTGGTTTGATTATGCCACTGGAGGGGATAAAGAAGTGCTGTACTATACACCCACATTATACAGACCATAAGTGGGTGTTTTGTTTTTTCTTTTCCTCTTAAATGCTCCTTGCAGTATCCTATGCCGTGGAGGGAGTCACAAAATGTGATTCAGCAGAAGGATTGGAGGGAATAAATCTGTGTGTATGCAGAGAGGCAATACATGTGCAGGCATTTGTTGACTACATGGTGGCTTTAGTGTGAACCATTGGATAAAGAGCTACAGCTGTTTCCGTCTCCTCTCTAAAACTATAGAAACAGTAAAAAAAGAAGAAAGAAACAGGCATTTTCTCTTTGATTGATGTGTAGATTTCAACAAACTGGTAGGACTTGAGCAACGCAGGAATAAAAAAAAAGTGACCCAACTTGAGGCTCATTACATTTTCATTTTTAATTCCTGGGTTCCCCTTTTTTGTACCAAAACTGACATGAATAGTTTTATTCCAATGGAAAAATCAGATTCAGGCAGCAGTTTGATTGGCAACAATATCATGGCAAGTCTACATTGAAAATATGTCTGCAGGAAAGGTTACACTTTTGGGTGGGTAGAGGTGGGGAATCATCCCCCACACTGAAGCACTGGTTAAAAATCCTCAAATCAAGGCTTTTTTCAAATTTACATCCTATGTGTTATAAATACATCAGAATGACCCCGTTAAGAACCTCTGCCTCTCCCCATCATGCCACCAGGCAGTTTTGAGAGAGTTCAAGCAGGCTGTTACAAAGGCATAGTTTTGCCTATATTCTCTCATCTCCCACTTTGCTGTGCCCCAAATGAATGTCTGCACTTGACAGATTGTGTTTTGAACTCACAGTTTTCACCTGATACATGTCTCAATGAGATCAGTTCCCGTGGTAAATGCCAACCATGAGCTGCAAGCAGAGAAAGGGCTAACATTGTTAACAAATGCTGCAGGCATTTGTAGTGAGAAAATGGTCTGTGGGTTTTATCCCTTTTGATATTGCTTTTTCACTCAGAAATACATAGATGTTTTTACTGAACATAAGAAATAACATTTAAATTTGATTAAACCTTTGAAGGATCCCAAAAGATGAATATTTCAGGAAAGTATGAAAGAAAAAAGAGCTGTCTGTGTCATAAAACTCTAGATTAGGTAAAGAGCACTGTAGCATAGATGCTCTCTCTTCACAGTATTTCACCATTACTATGGCTCTGCTGCTTTAAATTCTTTATACAATTTATTGACTATGATAAAAATGGCCCAACAGGGGCATTAATGATTACATACTTCTTAAATGCATATTTAATTTTATGGATTCTATTCATTCATATGAGAGACAAGACAACGAATAAAAAAACATAGAAGAAAAATCAAAGTGTAATAAAAACAAAGTATGGACATCCTTTCTGGAGAATCAGGTGTTGACCAAATGCAGTGGTATCTTGGCTGGTATGAACCTGTAGTTCATGAACACCTGAAGACATGGAGTCCCAAGGAAAATTATTGTGTCCTTCAACTGAGTGTCCAATACCTATGCAATGAATATTATTAACTATGCTTGTTTCTAATCATGGGTGTCAAATCCTTGATTTCTGCTGTGAACAGGAAAAATGTCAGTGTATTGACAGTGTGCCTTTTTGCTACAAAATCACTGTGGTATCTAATCCAAAGAATGTCTTCTGAATTCTTTTTCATCAAACTTTAAAGTTAAGATTTCAGAATCTTCAAGGTCCCTACCTTTTTTATCCAGGATCTCTTCAATGTCCCAGCTTTTTCATACCTCAGAAGTTCCATTTAAGAACATTGCACAAGGAAAAAGGTCAAATTAGTCCACCAATTTCTTTACATTGACTCTTTCAATTCTTCTTAATTCACCACCCAAGCATCGTCCCAGCATGAAGCTGACCACACAAACCAGGCAGCCACTAATCACGTTTCATGCTCAGCCAAGTTTCTTTATCAAAGTATCAATACTGAATCAGAGTTGAATGACATCTAATTGCAGTACACAGCACGACTGCAAAAAGCCTCATCCACTAAGAGCAAAAAATTGCCTCTATTGAAATCAAAGATTTTTGCAACTGCTATCAGGAGTCCCAAGGTTCAGAGCATTATGGTTTTCATACCAATGTAAATTTCAGTCTGGAGTACAGACTCTTTCAGCCACTGACATTTCAGGTCAGGCTATGTAATAATCATCTTCCAGATAGTTACATTTACTAAATGGTCCTGAATTTTAATAAACCTGTAGAAGTGAGAGGCCATAAAGCTCTCATTCTTGGCTAAACCCTTCACTGTGTTTGAGATTTCAGCTAGCTTAAGATAGGATTTATCAGTATTACTGTTTTAGTCACGTACTGAATTCCAGCAGAGCAGCTTCTGTATGATTCATTGTCACTGAAGGAATGGCACTTAGAGATAAACAATGAGAACAAGAGAAGATGTGATGTCAAAAAAATACTTAACATTTTACATAGTATAGGCTCACACTTTCATATGCATCTTGATAAACAAGCCCACTCTTATTTTCTTGGGAGCTTAGGGAGTTTAGAGTCTTGAAGCCTGAACTGTGCTGAAGTCAGCTTTAGAAATGAAAATTCAGACACCTGTTAGTAGAAAGAAGACATTTCTTATGGCTGAGAGTTTACCCCAAAGCTAGGACACTTATAAAGTTGTCTAGGTTCTGACTTCATGTGTTTTCAAAATGATTTGTGCAACCAAATAATTTGTCTGTGCTTCATATCTACCCAAAATAATGTTACCGTTTTGAAAATCTTTTTAGATCTTGCTCCTCACTGTTGGTCTAATGTTCATAAAATGTCGTTTATTTTTGCTGAAAAAAGATATCAAGTTAGAAATTTCCCAGGATGCTTTGAAAAGACTCCAAAAACTATTTGTTTACTGAGAGTAAAAAGCAGAAACAGGGGCTCCTAAGCAGCACAATTTCACTTTTCAGGAAGCATGGAGCCATACGCTACTGGATGTTTGGCAATTAAAAGAGAAGTGACTAAAGGCAGGTCCTTTCAGTTATGGTATTCCTTGTGAAAATGGAAGATAATGAAGTGAGACATTAAATTTACCAACAGCATCCTTGCATTGATTCGGCATCTAGAAGTCTTTTAAACTTTTAAAATGTAGAGCCAATTGTAATATTTCAGTACTAAAATGACAGATGTAATTCTTCTAGTTATATTAACTTTATTTAGCTATTCTTAATTTTATATAATTTTATATAATTTATCTTAAAATAAAGATGAATACTCTTCAAATACAATATTTCTTGACATGGTCAGTCCTTTTTTTTTCATTTTAGATCATCATATTTATACCATTTACTTACTGACCTCTCACATCAGCTTTTACAGCAGTTTTTAAGAAGGTAACTAATTTCATGGTTCAGAGCAATGACAATCCTTCAGAACGAAGGTTTGAAGCCATAGATATTTGGAAAAATGCAGATAGCATAAAAATATAAATATATATATATATATATATATATACCTCCCACAAAAATACCATCTCTTCGGGTCAGAACAGAATAGTTATTCTTTAACACTTTGAATAGAACTTAAGAAAACATCTCTGAACCTGATTGTTTTTCTGAGTTCATCACCCAGCCACTTCCCTGCAGGCTGATTTCACACTCTCATTCCAGTGAGTGACTGTGTCTTCAATGAAATTATCTGCTTCCTTGTGCTTTAGGCTTCCTCTTGGCCCTGGAGTGTTATGGTAATATGAAATTTGATGGCATTTTTTTCTTTAATAGTGCTCTCCCCACTGGATGTATTGACTAGTAGGTGTAAAGTGTCTTCTGTCTGCTACTTCCTCTGTCATCTGCTGTGGACATACCCTTAATCAGAAGTTCTCTTTGCACCATCAGATTGCTGTGTCAGTATTTTCCTTGACAGATATAGATGTGTATATGTATATATATATATATATATATATATTTATATATAAATATATATAAAATGAAACTGTTGTGCTGATGTCCTGGGTACATAGTCTTGTTATTGACCAAGAGGGGGTGGAGCAGCAAGGCACAGAAAATCCACTATACATTCTAACATTTAGGCTTTATCCTTTATTAGGTAGTGAGTAAGAGACAAAAAGAACTGAGTTTGTTGTTTACAGCTGAACTTTAAAAGAGACTTTTGTGAACAAAAACTTGTTCCATAGAGCACTGTGACAAAAGAGGTCCAAGAAAACTGAAGGTGCCATTGCAAATTAGCTGATGTAAGTAGTTGGAATGACACTCTTTTATATCTAGCAAAATTTGTATGAACTCTGCCCTTAGTACTGTGCCTCCATACATGCCACAGGCCACGTTCTGGCAAGGATCAGCCTGTTGATTTTGATGGCATCACAACAACATGGCAGGATGTACAGCAGGTGTCCATGCACCAGAAGGCTGTGCATAAGAGCCTTCACCATATTTGTCTATCTCCCATTTTCCCATCTGCCTGCTTCCTCATGGGGAAAAGATAGCCTGCCCAGATCTTCTACCTTCCCAAAATGTGAGTATTCCTCAGCTCCTTTATCAAGATCTTATACAGGCTCTTACAAAAGGCTCTGGAAACAAGTGGTGGTTCATGGAGCACAGCTTGAAAGCTGCTGCCCTTTTCAAGGAGGAATCTGAACACAGCTGGCAATGGCACTACAGCTTCTGCGAACAGATGGAAGGTTGAAAGCAGGCTTAAAAGACCAAGTCCACTGAATCTTACTATCTCATGTACCCAAATAAAATGAAACATTTTCTAA